CTCAAATCCTCCCAACCAACTCCCAACACACCACTTCGGCTCCTTCCTAATCACAACCCATACTCAAAAACCCGCCGCTTCCTCTCACACACTTTACACTATAGTACCCCCATTCAGCTTCGCCCAACCACCCACTCAATGCACAACGCTGCGGCTGGCAAATCCACCCCAGTCTTTCACACGAAGCTAAGCCTGATCTCGCATTTATCCTCACTCCCTGCGTGGCAATATAAGCTGAACGCTACACAGCATAGCATGAGCCACCAAAAAGTATCCAGCCTCCATTAACGCCCACGCACGCCACCGCATCGCTTCCTCAAACTCACCACTAAATATCTGCTCAACAACAAAATGACTCGCTGCTCTACACACACACGCAACCCCGGATCTTCCTGCAGCATTAGCTGCCGGTCTTGCCATATGCAAAGCCATCAACTCCAACAAATGTCGTCCACTCAAATCGTCCTAACCAAATTCAAACATACCACTTCGGCTTCGTCTTAAGCGAAACCCGCACTCACAAACCCGCCGTGCCTTGCCACACACTGTACCCTATAATACCGTTATCTGGCTTCATCCCACCGCTCACGCTACGTAGAGCGCTGCAGCTGCCAAATCCAATGCAGTGTTCAACACGCAGCTAGGCCTGATCTTGCATTTTTCCGCACCAGCTGCGTGGCAATACACGCTGAACGCTACACAGCCTAGCAGGAACCAGAAAACAGTATTCAGCCTCCATTACCCTGCACGCACTCGAGCGCATCACGTGCTTATACGCAACACCAAATACCTGCTCAACCACAAAATGACACACTGCGCCAAACACTCAACCCCTGACCTTCCTCCAACATTAGCTGCCCGTCTTGCCGTGTGCGAAGCCATCCACTCCAACAAGTATCGGCCACTCAAATCCTCCTAGCCAACTCCCAACATTCCACTTAGTCTCCATCCCAAATACAACCCATACTCAAAACCCCGCTTTGCGTCTCACACTTTACAATATAGTACCCCCATTTAGCTTCCCCCCACACCCCACTCAATGCACAACGCTGCAGCAGCAATATCCACTGCATTGTCTAACAGGTAGCTAAGCCTGATCTTTCATTTATCCTCACCATCTGCGTGGCAATACACGCTGAACGCTACACAGCATAGCATGCACCAGCAAACAGTATTCAACCTCCATCACCGCGCACGCACACCACCGCATCACCTGCTCAAACGCACCACTAAATACCTGCTCAACCGCAAAATCACACACTGCTCCACATGCACAACCCCTGACCTTCCTCCAACATTAGCTGCCCGTCTTGCCATATGCAAAGCCATCCACTCCAACAAATATCGAACAGGCACGTCCTCCTAACCAACTCCCAACATAAAACTTCGGCTCCTTCGTAAGCAAATCCCGCACTAAAAAAAAACCCAATTCTTGTCACACACCTTACACTACCATAACCCCACCTTGCTTCCACCCACCCGCCACGCAATGCACAACGCTGCAGCTGCCAAATCCCATGCAGTGCTTAACGCGCCGCTGCGCCTCATCTTGCATTTGTGCGCACATGCTGCGTGGCAATATAGGCTGAACGCTATACAGCCTACCATGAAACACCAAACAGTATCCAGACTCCATTACCCCCACGCACACCACCGCATCGCTTCCTCAAACGCACCACTCAATACCTGCTTAACACCAAATGACACACTGCTCCACAAACACAACCCCTCACCTTCCTACAACATTAGCTGCCCGTCTTGCCGTATGCAATGCCATCCACTCCAACAAATAGCGGCCACTCAAAGCCTCCTATCCAACTCGCAACATACCACTTCGGCGCAATCCTAATCACAACTCGTACTCAAATACCCGCCGCTTCTTCTCACACACCTTGCACTTTGATACCACCGTTTGGCTTCCCCCAACCAGCCACTCAGTGCACAAAGCTGCAGCTAACAAGTCCAATGCAGTGTCCAACTCGCCGCTGCAACTCATCGTGCATTTGTTAACACACAGCTAAGCCTGATGTTTCATTTATTCGCACCAGCTGTGCGGCAATATACGCTGAACGCTACACAGCCTTGCATGAAACAGTGCACAGTATCCAGCCTGCATCAACGCGCACGCACACAACTGCATCGCTTCCTCAAACGCACCACTATACACTTGCTCAATCACAAAATGACATAGTGCTCCACATACACAACCCTTCACCTTCCTCCAGCATTAGCTGCCGGTCTTGCCGTATGCAAAGCCATCCACTCCAAAAAAATATCGTCCAGTCAAATCCTCCTAACCAACTCCCAATATACCACTTCGGCTCTTTCCTAATCACAACCCATACTCAAATACCCCCACTTCTTGTTTCACACCGTACACTATATTACCCCCATTTAGCTTGCCTCCACCCCCAACTCAATGCACAGGGCTGCAGCTGCCAAATCCAATGCAGCCGCTAACAGGCAGCGATCTTGCATTGATCCGCACCAGCTGTGTGACAATATAGGCTGAATGCTACATAGCCTAGCATCAACCAGCACACAGTATCCAGCCTCCACTACCGCCCACGCACACCACCGCATCGCGTCCTCAAACGCACCACTAAATACCTGCTGAACCACAAAATGATACACTGCTCCACATACACAACCCCTGGCCTTCCTCCAACATCAGCTGCCCGTCTTGCCATATGCAAAGTCATCCACTCCAACAAATATCGCCCACTCAAATCCTCTTTACCAACTCACAGCATACCACTTCGGCGCAATCCTAATCACAGTCCCTAACCTGAAACCCGCCGCTGCTTCTCATACACTTTACACTATATTACCCCCGTCTACCTTTACCCCACCCCCACTCAATACACAACGCTGACGCTGCCAAATCCAATTCAGTGTTTAACACACAGCTGCGCTTCATATTGCATTTATGCGCACTATCTGTCTAGGCATATACGCTGAACGCTACACAGCCTAGCAGAAACCAGCAAACAGTATCCAGCCTTCATCAACGCGCACTCACACAAATGCATCGCTTCCTCAAACGCTCCACTAATACCTGCTCAACCACAAAATCACACACTGCTCCACACACACACAACCCCTGACCTGCCTCGAACATTAGCTGCCCGTCTTGCCATATGCAAAGCCATCCACTCCAACAAATATCGGCCACTCAAATCCTCCTAACCAACTCCCAGCATACCACTTCGGCTCCTCCCTAATC